CACATGGGTTCAGGGTGGCTAACATAAGAGGCAGATGCCATACATAAAACAATTTAAAACCAATAAATAACCATTACAATTAAAATCGGTGCTCAACAGTAAAGGTAAAGGTTCCCTTGCTCGAAAGCCAGTCACGTCCAACTCTAGGGTTGCGGTGCTCATCTCAAAGCCGAAGAGCCAGCGCTGTCCGAAGACGTTTCCGTGGTCATGTGGCCAGCATGACTAAACACCAAGGCGCACGGAACGCTGTTACCTTCCCACCGAAGTGGTACCTATTGATCTACTTGCAATTTCTTGCTTTCGAACTGCTAGGTTGGCAGGAGCTGGGGCCAGAGACGGGAGCTCACTCCGTCATGCAGCACACTCGGGTCTTGAACTGCTGAACTTCCGACCTTCCACAGCCTGCAGTTCAGCGTCTTAACCATTTGAGCCACCGCAGCTCCTTACAACAGTAAACTCCTTACTCCTTACTCAACAGTAAACTATAACAATTCCAAGATGGGGATTCCGATGATACGCTCCAGGGAACGCTGATGTCTCTTCTGGTTAGTACGTCACTTTGTCAGTTCTTCCATCCCAGGGCCGGCACACCTTGTAGAAAATTCCACCAACAAAGATGACAACACGGTGATGGTACAGAGGCGGCGACGGCTCCTACTCGAAAGCCTGGCGGAAGAGCTCCGTCTTACAGGCCCTGCAGAACTGTACTGATCAGGTCTCCAATAATTGTGATCCCCCATCTGATCGTCACCACCATGTGTAGATTTCAACCCAGGCATACATGACTGTGTTCATCTTAATGGGTCACCAGCCAGGTGTAAAGATCAGGGAAAGCCCCATCAATGTTCGAAGTCCCCAGGTCCCATCCACAGCATCTCCGCCAAAAGAGCCTCAGGTAGCAGTTGTGGGGAAAGACCTCAGAGAACGCTTACCAGGCAACAGAGACAATACTGAGCTCAACGAACAAACGGATCGTCTGACTCGAAAATAAGTTGTGGGGAAAGGCTGAGTGAAAAGTATGCATACGGTGAGTGATTTCAGCTAAGCATACCTTTATTAGTCAGGAACAAGACACCTTGGCTGGCTCGCAGGCCGGTTTATATTCCTTCAGAAACCCACCACCAAAACACACCCCCACTCCCCGATAGGCTTTTTACAGTAACCAAGAGACCTATTGGCCTCACGGTTTGGGACCTAGCCATCTGATAGGGCCGGCTAGGACCCTTCTGGCCCATTGTCTTTAGATACGAAGCTTGAGGTTTTGTCCCTGGGCAAGTCCGGACATGCCCGGCCTTGTCAGGGCTGGATACACTACACTGACTTTGAGTGGTGGAGCACCTGCTTTGTACACTGCAAGTTAGGGATTCATCTCTTGGCATGTCCAGTTAAGAAAGTCAGTTTATTTCACCCAAAGAGTGATTAATACATGGAATTCACTGCCCCAGAGGTGGTGGCGGCCACAAGCATGGACGGCTTCAAGAGGGAATTAGATAAGCATATGGAGCAGAGGTCCATCAGGGGCTATTAGCTACAAGGTATAGATAGGGGCTCTCAGTCTGGGGCAAGTGAAGCTCTGTATATCTTGGTGCTTGGGGGTGGGGTCAACAGTGGGAGGGTCTCTAGTGTCCTGGCCCCACTGCTGGACCTCCTGAGGGCACCTGGTCTTTTTTGGCCACTGTGTGACACAGAGTGTTGGACTGGACAGGCCATTGGCCTGATCCAACACTGGCCTCTTTTATGTTCTTTTAACATCTCTGCCCAAGACCCTGAAGAACCGCCGCCTCACGGAGTAGACCAGGGGTCCCCAACCTGTTTCAGCCTGTGGACATCCTGAGAATTCTCACACAGTATGGTGGGTGCAGCCACAAAATGCCTGCCCTAGTAGGCAGAACAAGGGTTGCCGACCACCAGGTGGCGGCTGGATATCTCCTGGGATTACAACTGACCTCCACTGAAGCCCCTTCCCGCTCCCCAAGCTCCGCCCCCAAACTCTCCAGGTAGTTCCCAACCCAGAGCTGGCAACCCTAGGCAGCACCAGTCACAAAAACGGTTGCCACGGCTTACCTTCAGTCACACAGCAAAGATTCTGGTGTTGTGATGGCAGCTGCTGCCAAAGCGACCTCTTAAAATAATCGGCACAGCCAATCAAATTTCCAACGGGCAATCAGAAGCCGTGCTGGGCAAAAGACCTACCTGACCCCACCCACCTTCCAAAATCACTTGGCAGGCACCGGGAGAGATATTAATGGGTGCTATGTTGGGGACCCCTAAAGTCAACAGTGCTGAACATAATGGACCAAGGATCTGGCTCGGTATATAAGAAGAAGAGGAGAAGAGATTGGATTTATATCTGGTACGGCTGCGAGAGTTGGACTATAAGGAAGGCCGAGCGCCGAAGAATAGATTCTTTTGAACTATGGTGCTGGAGAAGACTCTCGAGAGTCCCTTGGACTGCAAGAAGAACAAATCAGTCAATCCTAAAAGAAATCAACCCTGACTGTTCCCTGGAAGGCCAGATAATGAAGCTGAAGCCCAAATACTTTGGCCACCCAATGAGAAGGGAGCACTCACTGGAGAAGAAGGCCCTGATGCTGGGAAAGACTGAAGGTCAAAGAAGACGGGGACGGCAAAGGATGAGATGGTTAGACAGTGTCATAGATGCAACGAACATGAAATTGAGCCAACTTCGGAGGACAGCGGAAAACAGGAGGGCCTGGCGTGATCTGGTCCATGGGGTCGCGAAGAGTCGGACTCGATTGTGCGACTGAACAACAACAACAACAACAAAACTTCACTACCTGAAGGAGTCTCAGAGCGGTTTACAAACTGCTTTCCCTTCCCCTCCCTACCGCAGACACCCTGTGAGGTAGATGGGGCTGAGAGAGCTCTGAGAGAGCTGCTCGTGAGAGAACAGCTCTGAAAGAACTTGTGACTGACCCAAGGTCACTCCAGCAGGTGCATGTGGAGGAGTGGGGAATCAAACCCGGTTCTCCCAGACTAGTCCACGCTTCTAACCACTACGTCAAACTGGCTCCCCTATTTGTTTATCAAGACTTGTGTCTAAAGTTTCCCCTTAATCCAGTTTACACACGTACCTCTTGTTCCTCCTGGATTTTGAGAACGATGAATTGAAACAGGAGCCCCTCGAGAAGATCAAGACCTGGACGTCAACCCAGCCACCTAGAATACTGGCCGTCTTTCCAGTGATAGCTACCCACTTCCTTGCTTGAACAGTAGGCCTCTGTTATTATCGACAGGAATTATCCCCCAGGTAACCGGAACTTTACAGGCCAATTGGCTTGAACAGAACGTTGGGACGCTACTATGATATCATCAGAATCCCGGGGCGTTGGTGATGGGGACTCGGGTCCTCAAGTAGAACAGATTGGTGGTGGGGATACTGCCATAGCCTCTTCTTCCTTCCCAGAGATATCCCTGGGGAAGGATATCTGGACTCTCCATCCTGGGCACAAGGGAGGTGGCTCCTCACTGGATCTCCATGCTTTCAATGAACAGGAAGAAAGACTAGGCAGATGGATCAAATGCACCCCCGGTGTGAACAGGGATGCACGGTGGACGAAGCTGATGAGCTTTTCTTTCCTCGACTGGGGCTGGCGTTCCCACTGCCTTCCCACTAGTCACTGGCTGCACGCCCGCCCCACCGAGAGCTCCAAAAGGTGACGGCCAAGGTGTCCACAAATTAAAGAGGGTTTGAGATACTCGGACTCAGCTTGAATCATGGTGGAGCACACAACGTCCACGCCGTACATCTCAGTGATGGATCAGTACGGCTACCAGATCGGCAAGGTGATCGGGCACGGGTCCTACGGCACGGTCTACGAGGCCTACTTCGCCAAGCAGAAGACCATGGTGGCTATCAAGATCATCTCCAAGAAGAAAGCGTCGGAGGACTACCTCAGCAAATTCCTGCCGAGGGAAATACAGGTCATTTAGCGTTGTGGTGGGCGGATGGCTGGGGAGGGAAGGGGGCATGCTGTAACCCACTCTGCTGAGAGCTCAGGAGCTAAGCATGGAAAGTGCTTGGAAAGAGACCACCAAGGAAGACACCGCAAAGGAAGGCACTGGCAAATCTCTCCAAATCGTTGACTGGAAATAAACTGGCAGCCTGTGAAGTTCTTTTGAGCCTGGGGAGAGCCAGTTTGGTGTAGTGGTTAAGAGTGCGGACTCTAATCTAGGAGAACCGGGCTTGATGCAGCTGCTGGTATGACCTTGGGTCAGCCACAAGTTCTCTCAGAGCTGTTCTCTCAAGGGCAGTTCTCGAGAGAACTCTCTCAGCCCCACCTACCTCACAGGGTGTCTGTTGTGGGGAGAGAAAGGGATTATTGTAACCCGCTCTTGAGACTCCTTCGGGTAGTGAAGGGTGGGGTATAAATCCAATCTGTTCTTCTTCTACTCCACACTTCACGCCAGGCACCAAGTTTTGCTGCTGTTTTATGGACCAGTTGAGGTTTCGGAGTCATTTTCAGAGGCAGCCCCATGTAAAGTGCATTTGCAGTAGTCTAACCTGTAGGCGGCCAGCATATGGATAACTGTGCCCAAAGCCTGACAAAATGAACATGTTTTGATTGGCGGCTTAAATCAGAGGTCCCCAACCTATTTGCACCTTTGGAATTCTGTCACGGGGTGATGGGAGCAACCACAAAATGGCTGATGCAGGAGGCGGGGCCAACCACACAATATCAGGGAGTGGGGCTACGCATAATTCTAATTGTAGCTCTTCAACGTTTCAGGCAGGATCTCTGTTTTAAAATGAACACATCATTTTAGAGCATATTTTATTTATTTATTTATCCAATTTATACCCCGCCCTCCCCGTCACGGCAGAACGGGCGGCTTACATGAGAAGTAAACACATAAATAACAATAAAATTACCAAGAAAACATCTAAAAACAGTTCATTATAAAACAGTACAATATCGTAAAGTGCTAGCAATGTTGGTTGAGTCTCATAACAATGGCGGTACCATATGAGTGCATTCAATAGATTATCTAAATCAGGGGTGTCGAACTCGTTTGTTATGAGGGCCGGATAGGACAGAAATGAGACCTTGCTGGGCCAGGCCGTGTGTGTCATAAAATGTAATGCCAAGTAGCAGAGATATAAACTTTATAAAGGACACAAACACAAAGGGGTGGGGTTTTTTTACTTAAAATCATGCTTAAAACGTCAGCACTCTTGCAATATTTTGTTTATTTAACAGTGTCTGACAACTGACACCTCTTGCTCTGAAATATTGCATCAAAATGTCTGTGCTGCTGCAAACGTGAGTATGCTGTTCAGGTGTGTATCTGTAAGCTGCAAACCTACGATGACCCAGCAGGAACAGCAGCAGCAGAACTGGAAGAAAAAGCAGAAGACAGCCAGTTCCACTCCGGGAGGCCTGATCCGGCCCCTGGGCCACATGTTTGACACCCCTGATCTAGATGTTCAGCTCGACGATCTTTCCCAGATATAATCGGCAGGCACAGGCTGTCGATAGTAAGCCAGGGGCCCAGGGCTCTGTGAATTTCAGTTGTTGTTGGTAATGGTGGTGGCTCCTTAGTTGAAGGCCTGGTGGAAGAGCTTAGTCTTATAGGCCCTTGCAGATACCCAGCTCTTCCTTCAGTCACTCGGTGAAGAGCCTTGTGCTGTGGTGGCCGCAGCTGCTGAAGCAACTTTTAAAAACCTGCTCAGCCAATCAGAAGCTGGCCCCACCTACTTTTTAAAAACCACTTGGCAGGTGCCAGGAGAGGTGTCAGCAGGGAGTGAAATGGGGGGTGGCGTCAGTGGGAGGAGACATGGTCGTCTAACCGACAGAATGACCAGCTTCTGAGACCCCCAAATTCCTTGCTTCCCCCAGGTGATGAAAAGCCTGCGGCACAAGTACCTGATCAGTTTTTACCAGGCGATCGAGACCACGTCCCGGCACTACATCATCATGGAACTGGCCCCCTGCGGCGACGTTTTGGAGTGGATCCAGAAATCGGGCGCGTGTTCCGAGGCCCTGGCGGGCAAGTGGTTCTCGCAGCTGGCCCTGGGAATTGCCTACCTACACAGCAAGGGCATTGTGCACCGGTAAGTAACAGGTCAGGTTGCCAGCTCTGGGGTCAGGAAATTCATAGAATCATAGGATTAGAGTTGGAAGGGACCTTAGAGGTCATCTAGTCCAACCTCCTGCACTCTTCAGGAGAGTAGCCGAAAGATGGAGGTTTTGGAGCTGGAGAGTAGGGAGGGCGAGGTTTGGGGAGGGAAGGGACCTGAATGGGGTGTAATGCCATAAAGTTAGTCCAGCATAAGCTTCTGGAAGTCATCGCTCACTCCATCAGATGCACGGGAGTGTAAAGCCATCGCAACCAGTTTATATATACAATTTATTTGTAGCCCTCTCTTCCCAAAGCCAGCTCAGAGCGAGTAACATCAAACCATAGCATACAATTTAAAAACCCTCTAAAACAGCAGACTATTACAATAAATACAATAAATGCAGTAAAATACAATCTAGATACAACAGTTCTATAAAATTCCAGATGATGAAGAAGAGATTGGATTTATACCCCGCCCTTCACTCAGAGTCTCAGAGCGGCTTACAAACGCCTTTCCCTTCCCCTCTTCACAACAGACACCCTGTGAGGTAGGCCGGTGCTGAGAGAGCTCTGACAAAAAGTGCTCTTTCAAGGACAGCTGTGCCAGAACTATGGCTTGCCCAAGGTCATCCAGCAGGTGCGAGTGGAGGCGTGGGGAATCAAACCCGGAACACAAGGGGAGGGGAAAACAAAGGAGAGGGAGAGAGGCCAAAGTTGTTACCAGTTAGGGCCCCAGTACATACAGATTGATAACTACCAGACCATTTTGCATCAGTGCTTTGAGCTTTGAGAATGGCAGGAGTACTCCGTCCATGAAAGTTAGCTGCATAATGTGTCCTTTGTAGGACCGGCAAAAAAACATCCATACAACCATTAAGAAAGCTGTCCCCCTTTTCGGAAGACTTCATGCAAGGAGAAGCGGGCTTTTAAGTTCTGGAAACTCCCGTTGGGGCTTGACTTTTAAAACACTGATGCAAAATGGTCCGGTGGTTATCAATCTGTATGTACTGAATGTTATTGCTTATTGAATGTAATGAATATTTACACCTGACTAGCATGAAATAATGATACACTATGCACTTTACTAAATGATGATTATAAATGGAACACAATAGTTGGTTATAAGGTTTTTGCAGTGTATATTTATTTGTTGCTAGACCCACCTGGAGGCTGGCAACCCTTTGACAGACAGTCCAAACAAAGAAATCTGGTACAGGATGAAATAATAATTAATTATTATCATATGGCATTGTGTGTAAAATAGGCAGAAGATCCTAAGACTATCTGGCAGGCATAAGTTCTAGCTCTTCGTATTGTGCTAGTGGCAAGCTAGACTTGTTTTTAGGGGCTGAGAAAGCTCTGAAAGAACTGTGACTGGCCCAAGGTCACCCAGCCGGCTTCATGTGGAGGAGCGGGGAATCAAACTCGGTTCTCCAGATTAGAGTTCCCCACTCTTAACCACTACACCAAGCTGACTCTCATAGGATGAAATGGGATAAGCCGATACAATGGGAAATGAAGACAATACGGCTGAATAGCTGCCATAAGATATTAGCACCTAAAGTGAGTTAAGAGTCCAGTAGAGAGCCAGTTTGGTGTAGTGGTTAAGTGCGCGGACTCTAATCTGGGAGAACCGGGATTCCCCACTCCTCCACTTGCACCTGGCTGGATGACCTTGGGCAAGCCATAGTTCTGACAAGAGCTGTTCTTGAAAAAGAGCAGTTTCTGTCAGAGCTCTCTAAGCCCTGCCTACCTCACTGGGTATCTGTTGTGGGGAGGAAGAGGGAAGGGAGTTTGTAAGCCGCTCTGAGACACCTTTGGGTAATGAAGGGCAGGGTATAAATCCAATCTCTTCTTCTTCTTCTTCTTCTTCATTTATAACTCACTTTCCTCCCAGTCGGGACCCAAAGCCGCTCAGAGCTGGGAAATACCTGGAGCTTATATGGGTGGAGGAGAGGGAGAGGAGAGAGAGAGCTGACTCTTACTCAGACTCCACTCTCAGCTCTGCTTCTGCCTGTTGATGGTATCCAAAGATCTAAGCACTTGCAAGGGACAGATCCAGACAGGAACATATTCTGGAAGATGAAATACTTCTCCAAAAACGTTTGGGATATTTATTTCTACCCCTTTTTCCAAACAGGATTTTGGATCTTGTTATTCCAAGTTTTAAGTTGACACTGTCACAGAAGGAGAGAGGGCTAACTCCGAAATACTGTTCCGAAATACTCTTCCTCATTGTGAGATGAGAGTCCCTTCAACTAAGGAAACCAGACCAGAGTCAGAAGCTTTTAGGACAAGCTGAAACCCTCATGAACTCCTGTGTCACCTGACTCCTTATCAGATGGTAGCTGCGTTATTACTCCGTGGCATGAAGGGTGACAGAAAAGACCTATCTACAGTGGGCTCAATAATGTTGCTAACAACTTTCCAACTTCTGTCCAAATAATACCCATTTTCCAATCGATTGCTGCATACCTCTAGCTGTTATATACTAGTGTAACTGTCCAAATTTCCCCGCCAAATCTCGTGGCTTCTGGGAGGGACCACAGCTCATTGGAAGAGCGCTTGGTACATGTGCAAAAGGTCTCGAGGTCTGTCCCACCTTCTCCAGTGAAAAGATATTGGTCGAATCTGCATTTGCATTTTTGAATCAGTTGCGTGCTGCTGTGATGCCATCTTTCTCTATGCTTGTTTGAATGTTGTTTGGAAAAGATTCTTTTAAAGAAGTGCAAAGGTGCAATGACAGTGGAGCTGCCCCAAAAGGGCGATAAACATATGTGGGCGTGCAAAAGTATGCTACCACTGTTGAGGTGTGAAAACGACACCAAATGTAGACAGCTTTTTTGAAGACGGAGTCAAAAGACTGGGACACCGGTGGGAAAGACAAATGCAGATTCTGCCATTAATGTGGTGAACATCAGGAAGGACCCTTCCCTGCTGGGGGGCCACTTGTCAATCACAACAGACCATACATGGCTAGATGGACCAATCATCTGATGCAATATAAGGCAGCTTCATGTATTCACTAGGGTGCCGTCCTTAATTCTCTTACAAAAATAGTCAAACTTCAATATTCCTCAGGGAGCAAAACAGGCTACATCACCTAAAAGTCTTGAGAGGAAAGACGCATGATTACAATCCTAAAGTTAAAAATTGATGAATTATAAAGGAAACCAGAATTGTCCGAGGAATGACAAATACATGCCAGGAATGTCTGGAAGCATCAACAGGTGCTCAACAGCAGCAAAATATTCAGCTGATTCCAGCCAGCTTTTTCTCTCAGCCTCTCCCAATTCCCCTCCTTATGACAGCTGCTGTCCCATGTGACTTTTTTTCCATGCAGCCCCCTTGATCCCCAGCAGAGACGTTTTGCGGCAGTCCAAGGGGATCTCTCCTTCCTTCCTTCCAAAAAGCTTACTGGATCCAACCCACAGGCGCTAAATAGTGACAGATCTCGGGGCCTAGACATATTATGAGATGTATGATGCATGAGTCAGGCTGGGAATTCCCTGACCCCCACTTGCAGTCATACCTCTGATCTGTAGGCGCCGCTTAAATGATTAGAAAAAAGCATTTACAGGAGAAATCCTTGTGGGGCTGTGCTTTTAAGAAAGGGGGCCGAGCCCCCCAAAGCCCCATCGTAGTTACGGGCCTGGATACATGTAGGGATGGAGATGCCAGAGTGCTTATATCCCAATTAGAAGGCGAGAGGGGTGTTACTAGGGTGGCCAAACCCTGGGGGGGGGAGGTTTGGGGGGGGGACCTCAGTTGGAGATAACGCCATAGTCCACCCTCCAAAGCAGCTGTTTCCCCCGGGGGGACCGGGCTCTCTTCTCTGGAAGTCAGCTGTCATTCCAGGAGATCTCCAGGCCTGACCTGCAGATTGGCAACCCTAGCAGTGCCCCTTCCCCTAGACCCACGCCCCCACGTGCCTCCAGGCCAGCTCTTCCTTTTCTCTCCTTGGCCCACTCCAGGGACCTCAAACTCGAGAACCTCCTCCTCGACAAGCGCGAGAACATCAAGATCTCCGACTTCGGCTTCTCCAAGATGGTCTCCCCCCAGACGCAGCCGCCGCCCACCCCCTCCTACCGGATGATGAGCTGCTTCTCCCACCTGAGCCAGACCTACTGCGGCAGCTTCGCCTACGCCTGCCCGGAGATCCTGCTGGGCCTGCCCTACAACCCCTTCCTCTCGGACATCTGGAGCATGGGCGTCATCCTCTACACCCTGATGGTCGCCCACCTGCCCTTCGACGACACCAACCTCAAGAAGCTCCTGCGGGAGACCCAGAAAGAGGTGAACTTCCCCAGCCATCTCCAGGTCTCCGACGACGTCAAGGTGAGGATGGCCGGCAGCCGGAAAGGAGGCCGGGTCTCCAGGTGGGGCCCGGAGTTCTCCCGGGATGACAACTGATCCCTGGAGAAAATAGCTGCTTGCTTTGAAGGGTGGACTCCACGGCCAGTTTGGTGTCGTGGTTAAGTGCGTGGACTCTAATCTGGGAGAACCGGGTTTGATTCCCCACTCCTCCACTGGCACCTGGCTGGATGACCTTGGGCAAGCCATAGTTCTGTCCAGGGCTATTTTGGGGCAGGAACGCACAGGAACGGAGTTCCGGCTGGCTCCAAAGTTGGCCACGCCCAGCAGGA